GCACTCTAAGGTACAGGTACCTTTAGAAATGGTAACCTATGCCCAGAAATGACTCATTTATCTACCAAAATTCTTCTGTGTAATTCTATATGTAAGGGATGAGATGGAATTCTTAATCTTTAATGATTTGAGTGTCTTCAAGAAAACAGGATACTTCATTCTACACAGCCTAAGAACACCTACTAAAAAGAATACATTAAATGGGCCATACTTCATTTTCCCAGCTCAAACCTGGAGCAGCTTCACAGCTTTTTTTTTTAAAAAAAAAAAAGAAGAAAGGAAAACCCACAACCACCCAGTATAACAACTGTAACCCTTCTTTTCATTATGTTTTGAGACACAAATTTAAGTTTCAGACTTCTAATACATTCAGCATACTTAAGAAGTGAAAAGAGGAACACTCTCACTGGACTTAGCTCTTAGGAAGGTAATACGTTGTGAATTAATTCCATTTTAGTTAAACTGGTGTGAAGCTGAACTCCATTGTGATCATCATGTAAATTAATCAGATACATATGAGAGCATCCTTTGTCTACATTAACTTCTTTAAAATCTGAAATCCAAATAAAGCTGCACCAAAACAATGCTGTTAAAAGTTGCAAAGTTGTACTAGATCTGCAAATATAGTATGTTACAGAGCCCTGTCAGCATCTGAGATAAATTGGACTTTAATGGCAGAGCCCATATTCCTCCCTAAGCTATTTGTGGCTTCAAAACTGTGCTGGAAGCTCAGTAATGCTGATGACCATGCATGGGAGAACTGGAGCACAAGCAAATTAAGGGCCAGTATCTACCATGCAGTTCTCTGAGGTTTCTCTAAAGCCCTCATCTGGATAGATTTTGCCTGGGATACCTTTCAACATCCTGATAAAGCATTTCAAATTTTTACCTCAATGAAGGAGAGTTACAACTTTTAAAAAAACATGGTCAGAAGTTTTAGCCAAGATTGCCAATGTGGCCTATACTTTACAAACCATGTTGTTAAACAACTGTAAGAGTAACTGCTCAGCTTTTCCAGGAAAGTAAAAAAAAATCAGCCATGGCAGAAACCAAACATGAAAAAGTCCAATACAAGTAGTTAGAAGCTGGCACAATTATAAACATCTGGGAACAGAACATTACTGTAAGGAGCTGAGGCACTGTGTGGAAGTATCAGTTGTAAGCCTGTTATATAATAAAAGGTAAACAAAGCTTAACAAACTGTCAAAGCATTGAGGGAGTGGACTTGAACTAACAGAGAAGTAAATTTCACTGGAAGTCAGTGACTTAGAATCTTAGAATCAGGCTTTTAGTGCTGTTTTTGTTCATAAAGCCAAATTCTCTGTTCTTTCGTGCTGCATTTTTGCTACTGTGGCCTTAATGAAATCAAGAGTTAAACTGACTTAAAACAATAAGAGCATTAAGCTTGCAATGTTATACACAGTCTCCAACAATAGCTTTTCACTAATCTGCACTTTGTATTCTGTTACACACGGAGAGAACAACTTACTGCCATTCAGGAGATATATAACATGCAGGTGGATGTGTAATGTGTACATACACAGACAGCCCCTCATGAGATTAACTGCCTTGAGGAAACGTGCTCTCCATGGAAACTTTGCAGGAGAAAACATGTTTTGTCTTCTATGTGAGTTGGGGAGTAGGTTTGTCAGCCCAGGGCAACAAATTAAAAAGATTGTTTATGCTATCTAACTTGACAGTGTTTGTTAACTACGCATTTCTCCTTCTCACCTTTCAATAATGGGGACAGTAACTTTGTGGCTTTAAACAATGACTAATTTATTCCAGTGAGGCCAAAAAATACCCAAGTGACAAAAAATAAAATTCTAGGAAACAAAGACTACAACATATTCATGAAAATGAACATTCATATCAAATGAGAGAATATCAAAGACTACTGCTTTTTCAGACAACTTTTTCAGTTGCATAACTCAGCAGCTGCTCATTTACTTTAACAGACTTTGCTGGTAAACAGCAGCTAAGAATTTGCCCCTGGAATTACTACTTTAAAAGAGTTTATTTACAAGCACAGCTGAGTTTTGTTTCTTTTCTGCCTATTCTGGATCATTGCTATGCAAGTTCTATCACCATAAATTTGAGGTGATCCTCAGCTTGAAAATTATTTTGTTGTTCCTGTACTCTTTGGATATCCCATCTAGGTACCTTTGATAGCAAGATTGTCTTGATGTAAAGCTGGAATAACATACTGCTGAATTAGCCCCATTTTCTATCACTTAATATAGGCTTTAAATTCTTCCATGGAATGTGTCCACACTAGACTAAGAAGAAACCTCTTGGCAATACTGAATTATCATACTGAATTGCTTCCATCCACTTGCTGGGGCTGCCAAATTGAAATGATGCATGTCAAGGCAACCGTATACTGAAAAGTAAGAGATAGCCTCTTAAATGTTCCATTTATAAAGCTTTTTATTCGCAGTCAAATTTACTATCCCCTCTGAAATATATCACTTTACAAAATTGATACCTTGCCATTTCAAGATTTCCACGCCATATTCACTCAGCTTAGTAGTAAAAACAAGCTTTTGCTCTTTTCCCTTTGGTACAGCTGATGAAAACTGAGCAGTTCAAGGTCTGCTTCTTAGATCACCAGCGCTAAGTATTCCATAGATCTGTAATCTTCTCCTACAGGGAATGCTGGAAGTCAGCAAAAAGGCAAACTGTTAGTTCTATCAGTAAAATATTGCAAGTGCATCATACTGGAAAGCAGAAATAGAAGGAGAAAAAACCCCAAACAAACTACCACTAATGCTAAGAGTGATCTGCAAAACAAAAGCATTCATGTGGACTTTCTGGAATTCTCTGCAAGGAATATCACTCAAAGTAAATTAGCAAAAAGAAAAACTAGTGTCACACTGCAGAACTTTAATGCATTTTTTCCTAATACAGATCACATACAATTCTAAAATGACAAATTGCATTATTTACTTTCTGTATTATTTCCCCTAAATTGCTGTAGCCTAACACTTTTTTAATCACTGGCAAGTAAACTTCTAAGAAACATATATAGTCTTTTTTAACTATTCTCCTTTTTTGGCATCTTTACATTTCAGTTTATGACAAAGGAATAACCTGCCCACATTTGGGATGCAACCAGTTTCAATTATTTTGGCCCTCTTAAGTTGGAAAGTGTCTTCGGCTCAAAGTTTGTCAGAGTTACTCTTTTGGAGAAGCAGAACATCTCCGCAAAGTCTAATGACCATTTCTCCAATTATAGTCTGATCTGCATGTCACTGTTCAGCTGGAGTTAACTTTTTTCCAACTCCTGATTTGCATCAAAAATAATCTGCTGTTATTTCCTTACACTTTAGCTCTCTAAAGCAGCTATAGATTATTAGCCAGCCATGTCTGATGGAAAAAAGAAATTACATTCCTATCATTTCTTTTTTTTTTTTTTTTACATATAACTTGGCACTTATCCCAGCTTGTAGCCATGTTAAGCAGAGGAAAGTTTTTTCTAGGTATAAAGTTTTTTTGCAGTTGCTTTCAGTGGAAGAGAATCTGCATTAATTGAGTCAAAAGTTCAGTGAGATCTTGCCAGAAGGAACCCTATGCCACAGAATGCCATTTACACCAATATACCTCCACCTGTGTTTCCAGTTACAGATTGGCATTGGCTGTTCATGACTCCCAGAAGCCTTCCTGTGGCCAATAGCTGATAGAAGCCTTAATCCAGGTAACCCAGGTCTCTTCTTCTGTGGCTGCAGAACCGGGTCTTCATCAATCCCTGGGCAATTTACTGGTCATTTACTATGGAAACTAGGATTTCCCTTTACACTTGTCATGGCCCCAGCCCCACAGTCAAAAAGTGAATTTCGTTCTACCATCTTAAATCCAAGAAAATTCTTAATTCCTAGAGAATTAAGTTTGCTTAGCTTTTATCATTCCAGATAACTATGTTTTGAGGAGATTTCCAAAGAAACTGCAACATTAATACTTTTTGACAAAGCTTCATGCTAGTATTGACGTTCAAGGCCAGGAAAAAATAGGATGACTCAACATCCATTCTTGAGGATGCAGTTCTGCAATAATAAAAATATTGAAGGAGTAGGAATGAGCACCAGTGATGTGTTGACTTCCCAACTCATAGCTAGCATTTATAAGTGTTGGTATTTAAGTTCTAGGAGGATTCCTCCTTTGTTTGCAGCCACAGTAAACTGTTGGAGAGAGAGGTTTTCTAGAAGTAGATCTGCAGAAACTTTACAAAGCTAGCAGACCTAGTTTCTCAGGTCAAAGATGCCCCTTTTTGTTATGGTAAAAATCTCTTTACATGTCTGGGACAGTTAATGACATGAGGTTTTCTCCCTGCAGTATTTTTTGGAGAAGCATAGGTGTATATGGAGGAAATCTTTCATTAGACTTTTAAAGATGCATCTAAGAAAAAGATAATTCACTGACTGAAAAAACACTGAGTAGTGAGCCAGAGATCTACTGCAAACTCCTGAGCCATTGATTTCATAACAGAGTAATTCACTTTTCCTGTCCAACTGCAGCAGTTCAATGAAGCCACACTAATTCAAGGACCAAAGTCCTTGAGGACCAAGTGGAAAGTCTCCCATTGACTTTAAAGTCAATGAGTCAAGGCAAGTCCCTACTATCCAATGACTTCCAAATTTTGCCCAGCACAGAGCTTCCCAGATGCCCCCAAGTGCTGTTTGCTATTTTAATGTAGCTATTTAACACTAACACTAGTGGGGCTTAAACTTTTGAGTTGTTTTTCAATTTCTCTTCTGAAGTTCTTTTTTGGTAAGGATGGAAAATTCCCCATGCAACCTCATATCAAATTCTAGTCATAGTTGTTAACTTCACATGCTCTTACCAACCTCATCACTTTCTTGGTGCAAAGACTAGAAAGCAGGAAAAGTTCCAAGAACAGGTAACACATTAAATGCATGTATCAAAACACAATCTTTAATAAAATAAATACTATTTTCACTTTTAACTTAAAAATCTGAACACAAACCACTCTAATTTTCACATCAATTAGCCTCTAGTCCAACTACATATATATTTCTATCATAACTTAGAGTTTTATATAATAGTGCCAGTGCATTAGTTAAAAACATTCTCAAACACAGCAATCTGTTAGTGTTTCTCTTAGCTGGTATGTCTAACTAATATTAATTAACCCATAATATAGCAAAATCAAGACAAAGCAGGGAGGCATCACACACACCTTAATGTGTAACTCTTCAAATTTCTTAAGTTCATTAATACTTTAATTCACTGGTACTAATAACTTTTGCTATGATAATAGCAACTCTTTGCATTACATTGGCATTAACCAATGCAGAATTGCACCATATTCAGCACATGCAGCAATGAGACTAGAAGTCTCCCAGATGTTTTCCTTCCCTGTCAGGCCCTGTAGAGTCATACTACAAACTATGGCTCATACAGATTCATGCACACAGCCACCACAATAAATGTTCTTTTTGCCAGCCTCCTATTTTGAGGCAGGAAAGTTATTTTTTATTCCAATATTCATGTAGCTTTTCCAGGGAGGAACTTTCATGAACAATGTTCAGTCATTTCATATTTGAGACCTCAATAAAGTTAAATACCTATCCTGAAGTCTAGATGTTCCAAGAACAGTTCAGTGATATAAAAAACATTTAGCATTCATTTCAAGCCTCTTTCTAATAGGGCTGTTATTCACTAACATGCATATGGTGATGCTTCTTAGTTTGTGGAGCATTTTTCTGGGTTGTTTTCTTTGTGTTGGAAAAGCAAAGCCACAAATCCAGGCTGTGAACAGCCATACTGAATGATAGAAGCCTTAAAAAAAGTTTACAAAGTTGCATTTGTTACATCTATCTATTTGAAGTACTCTACCACAAATGCCAAATACCTGTATATAATTAATTTTAACAGATGGACTTCTGCCTCTGTAAGTCTTAGCTAATAGCCTTGCATTATTCTTGTTTAAACATTTACCAATGAAACCTGTGTACTTTATTGGACATTGAATTATGATCCTTTTCAGAAATTATCCTTTTAAAACAAAAGCTGTAATTGAAGCTTAAGAGGAAAATCATGTAATGGAAATGTCCTTCAATCTCCTTTTAATTAACAGCACTGTGCGTAAATACAAGCTGAGCTACTCATTTCCTCAAGACAATGCCTGTCAAAGTGGAAGTCGTTATCTCCCAGAAAGTCTCTATTTGAAGTGCTTCTGGCTTGTGCCACTTCAGACCACTTCTAGCCTACTGTCTTCCCAGTTAGTTCACAGGACACCTGGCCTTTTTTCTTTTTTAAAATTGATGGTTTTGAGATTAACATTTTGAACCTCATGCTTCGCACATGCAGACATGTAGATCCACACAAAGTCCAGAAATCTGTTTACAGTAGTCTACAGACATCGTTTGCAGTATCACATTGAACAGAGTACAAGACAGGACACACAGACTTCCAAATAAACTGTCCAAACTTACTGAGCACACAAAGAGAACTGCTTTACACAAGTATTACTGTCTTCAGTCAAGAACACAGTTGGGGTCTTTTGCATTTTTAACCTTAATCACACGAAAAAGACTCCTGAGTCCAGCAGCTCTTTTATTTCGCATAACCATGGCATTAACCTGTAGAAATACAGCATTCTAATTTTAGCTTTCAGCTGGAAAACATTTATGGACCTTTGACATGTATACTCACATAAGCAGTCCTGTAGATTTGAGGCAGCAAAGTTAGGTACCTACATGAACATATATACAAGCAAGTTCTCTTGTTAGTTGTATTGAAGGAATTCTATCATAAACAAATATGTGTAAATTCATACCAGTCATTGAAAAAGCTTTTAGAGATATGCAACAATTATTTGAGTTTGTTAAACTTGTCAATGTATTGAAATTTCACTTCCAAATACATATTTTTAGATAGTCAATGACAAGAGAACCTTCATTTTAGCACTTAAGTCAATATAGTCCATATCTGGCATTGCAGGATGCAGTACAACTCTGTAAGGACAGTAACCATCCACTGTACATCATTCAGCTTGCAGCACTGGATCCATTTGTTCCTGTCATTTAGTCTTTCACACCAACAATATCTCCCAACCAGTTTTGTAGACTGCTGCCCAAACTGCATTTTGGTGAACTAAATTGTTTATTTTTCCTTTGTAAGTAGTTAGGTTACTGCTAATTGTTAAACAGCTTTGGGGCTGATAATTGAGTTTTGTTTTGCAGTGTATTGAAAAAAGAACTAGTGAGGTTCTTCTGAAGAAACTAACACACCACCTCTCCTAAATGACTAAGCTTCACATTTTTAATAAAACAAATAGTATTTTCAAAACAAAGCAGTAGTTTTTACTGCACCAGAGAATGCTTTCCCTCATGAAGATTTGAAAAATCACAATGGATGACCACACTCCTATGACCTCAGAGCACGCTTCTTTCTCTCACAGTGTCAGCAGTAAGGGATGAGCACTGCAGCCAAAATTCCAGTCAAGTTCCTGCATGTGCTGTTTCCTAATAGCTGTCCCCAGCCTGCTCCTTTATTTGGGCCCTACAAATTGCCCTTTGGGGATATCTGTTTTTTCCATTGACTAGACACAGTGGCTTAGAGTGGAATCCGGGCTGTTTGCTTGTGGCCCTTGAAGCTCAGTTTTCTCAGAGGCAACAGAAGTAAGGGAATATGGCATACATTCAAGTTCAGAAGCTGAAAAGGAAACAGTTTAACACAGTGAATAAACCTTGCAAAACTCTACAAATACAGCATTTCACACGATGATGTAATGAGAAAGTAAATGTGGCTCTTGCCTAAAGAACAGAGTGGATAGCATTGTTTGAGACTTTTTAATATTCAGGAGATTAAGTACATATAAAAAAGTATAAATCATAAATCGTTCAGCAGTAAAAAAAAAAAAAAAAGTAATTCTTAGGCATTATCAGCAAAACATCACTAGTACTATTACCAGCAAGCGTATGTCAGGTCATTATTATTTGAATAATGAAATGCTACTTCTCTCACATCAAATGGCACTTTCAGATACACATATAATGTAATTACCTCAGTGACAAGTGTTCTGGACAAAATACAATCCTCTAAAATTCTTAAGTATAACTTAATCAAGATGTTGCTATACAGCACCTCTGGAAGATGCATACACTATACAAAACAAATTTTGAAATAAGTTCTAGGTGTCTCTATTTTATATGAAGGGAAATAAAAATTTAGTCCATCTTCCTCTTTTTTCCTTTAGCGGGGGTTTTGGAGGTATGTTCATTTTCAGCGTTTGGTTCCCAGAGTGCATTTCTTACAAATCTAGAAGCAGCTCCTTTATCCAGTTTGGATGCTTTTTTCTTGTCTGCTATTTCTTTGACCTTGTTCATGTATGTTCTTATTCTCTCCTAGGGGGAAAAAAAAAAAAAAGGAAAAGCGTATTTCACACTGTTCTCCCAATGAGTAGAAGCTCTCCACACTATACATTTCTAGAACTGTAATACCTAGAAAAATAGCATCATTTAAATAGATATACCAGGCTCTTTGCAATCTTGAGGCTTCTCCTTTATCAGATTTTCCATCACAGGTACCTACCATACTAATATTTGCATGGCATCCACCCTCATAGGAACATGAAATCCTAAAGAGATGAAGACTGCATCTAATTTACAGTGAGACAAGAACTGTTCTTGCAAGCAAAGTTGGAAAACAAAATACTGAACTCAGTTTGGAGTTTGGCCTACATAAAGATGGCAAAATAATATTTAGATATTTGACATATTTATAGGACTACTGTCTACAAAAAAAAAAAAAAAAAGAGAAAAAAAATAATTCAGCATGTCCAAGCAAAGCCAAAAAGCATCTTACACAAAATAAAAAATGTTACAAGCATTACACATGCAACTACACAAAAGTCTTGTGGTTAAGATCCTGAAATGGTCAAGGGGGCTTATCAGTGAACCTAATTAAGGCAGCCTGATGAATTTCCATCTGTACCGGAGGCTCCATTTATGACGATAAATAACAAAAAGACTCTTTCCATTGCCATTCCATAAAGCATTCCATAAAGGGATACTTTCTTGCCATCTTAGCCTACCATAGTCATTTGGTGTCTAGAGCTTTTTTTGAACAAAGCATGGCTCGCATTCAGCCCCACCTAAGTATACCCTCCCAGCCTAATAATCTCATTTATGTGCCTACTCATCCTCATCTACTTCTACAATCAATAAAGAAAATTACTTTGAGAGGGCAACTAAACCCCTCTAAGATGAGAATCACACTCTGTTAAGTGACTGCTTCTCTTCACTGACTAGAGAGGACACTTACACTAATTCTGTAAAATACGTAAGTTTGGTTGATAGATTTCATGTCTATATTATTTAGCCTAATATGGCTTTCAACTCTAGGGCCTTTAGGCATTAATGTAATACAAACAACAAACAACAGTAACATATATGTAGTGCTCTACCAGATACCTGAATGATAAATGTGTATTAACAGAACATTTATGGATACTGCTAACTAACTAAATGTTGATATTATGTAACCCTCACATTTCTCACACAGCCACTGACAGCTTTTTGAATCTGGAACAAAAGTTACAAGACCTACACTACTGAACAGATTTTCAATTCTTCAGTGACCATTATAAGCAACTGATTTGTCAAAAAGTTGGCCACTAAATAGATTTTTAATGAGGAGAGCTTTACAGGGTCTGAAATCATGATAGACTGTAATATTTCTTTGGTGACAGAGATGGCTAATTAGAACAGATGGCAAGCCTACATGCATCAACATGGGAAAAAGGAGCTGACACATGTCAGCATGACAAAAGAAATGAACTCTGATAGCTTGAATGTGAGTTTTATTAATACAGTTTGAATCCCTGTGTGTTCCCTGTATGTACACAAGGAGAGCAATTCTAAAACCAAAACAATCATGACAAAGTCTTTTTTAATTCCCTTTCCACATGAATAAGAACATCGCAATGCTCTTGGAAGGAAGGAATGTACATTCGTTCACCTTGATACTTGTAAAAGGCAAAGAGAATTGGATAAGAATTCAGCCTATGATAATTCACTCATTCTTCAGAGTTAAAATGACTGGCAATTGTGAAGTGAAATACCAGCATAAAACATCTGCAGCAGAAGAGATAAAACCTATTTTTTTAGTATTGCTAAATTAACACAATACTCAGACACTATACAATATAGAAGGAACAAGTAACTGACTGAAAGCCCATGAAATATTAACTGGTCCATTTTTTAATATGATACAGTCTAGACTACTGGAAACCTCACAAAATTAAAAATAGAAGTATTCTTGTTATTCAGGCTAGCCTTCCACATTTTTCAGTCCTATCTTCCATTCTGCTGGTTATGTAAGGATTACGTTTAAGCTAAGTATTTTACAATTGCCCAGATTTAATATTTTCATTTATACAGGAATTAAAATGGGTAGCTGTAAGTTTTGATTTCTATTTTTTCTTCAGGCTAAATGATTTGATTTTTTAAGTCAGCAGAATTTTCAAGCTAGCCAGCCTTCTATACTGTAGTCATGCTTCTAAATGGAATATAAAGACAAACCTAAAAGATTTATTATAGGCTGTAAATATGTCACTAATGCAGAATTACTGGACAATACACATACAACTGGTGCCAAAAAAGCTTTTAGCTTTGTTGCTGAACTGGATTCTTTACTGCTGAGAAAATGAATTAATGGAGGACTTGGAAGGGGGAGGGGGGCTCTTTCCCGTCTTCACTAGTAAATCAACCACACTATAGTCATACAAAAGTAAGAAAAGCCAGCCTCAGAGATTAACATGATTCCAAGTATTTATAAGAAAAAAATGCCATACTGGAAGTTATAAATTATTATCAGACATGTAACATTTTTCCATTTAACAGATACAAGTGAAAAGCTGCTCTGTTCAGAATCCAATTCTCAAACAAAGGTGGATAAGAGAAAAGATAACATGATGCCATTCATCTTCTTGTTCTTTTCTAATTTCAGCAGACTCTACAACTTTGCTTTAAACAGTACTGTTTGGAACTAAAAATACAACCGTCTTAATTTAGAGAGCCCAGCAGGGCATATGAACAGTTACGTAACACCATGTAGCATATGCATGCTATTATGGCAACATACCAATTTTAAACGTAGATCTAAACATTTTTTTACTTCTATATGAGTTAACTGTCAATCATAGAATCATTTAGGTTGGAAAAGACCTTTAAGATCATCAAGTCCAACCGTTAACCTAACCCTGCCATCCCACCACTAAACCATGTCCTGCACCTCATCTACCCGTCCTGGGCAAGTTAGATATTGCAGTGCATGCAGTGTTAGAATCTTACCAGTTCTTGTTTCACTGGATGTTCCTTTGGATTGATTCCCTGAGTAGCCAAGTATACTACAAGAAAAAAATATGGGTTTTTTTGAAACTGAAGGCCGTCATGACTGAGGACCCAATCAATCAGTCACATAGGAAAACTGTAGTTTCCACATAAAACCATTAATGAGAATTGGAGTTAACTGTGTTATTAAGTATCTGACAAACTATTATCAATAAATATTGCAACTAAAATAAAAAATAAAAAAAAAAAAACAGAAAGAAACATCCTCATGCATGTACAAAGTCAGCTTTTGTAAATATCCATTTTAGATTCTCGTTGGAGTTTCAACATCATTTATCCTATGGACGGCAATAATTTGGGTCCTCAGGGTAATTACAAGTTTCTAATTATTTGGCTATGAAATGATTATTTAATGTTTGTGGCTGTCTAGAAGGTGTTCAATTGGCAATCATAAATACTACATTTTCCTCCTACCACATACTTACCCCAGAACATTGAATTTAACGTGTACACCGAAACCAAATCCATCTTTGCTTGCTCAAGAGGCTCTAACTAGAATGAAAAAAGACCATCACATTTGCACATTTTTAAGCAAGATGTGCACAGATTTTAGTAATACGTACATTTTATAGAAAATACACACTGAATGAGCACATTTTTGCATCACATGTTCACTGAGACCATGTCTATGCCTGTTTCCGTGCCATCACAGAACCATTCTCTCCTCTGCAAGTATTAATGTAATTTTCCCAGTCTGATGTTAAATGCCACAGTCCCATATGGCCAAAAGGACAAAAATCTCTTGACACGTAGCTCTTAGACTACTGTTCCCATAGTCAGAAATAAGTCCCTGTTTTTCCACAGAAACTTAATTCAAAATAATTGTTGGGATCAATGGAATAAAAAAAAAAGTCTTAAGATCGCTGAAGCTCAAATATGAACATGAATGAACATTAACACTACACATAGTACACTGTGTGTTCAATGCATACTGGAATACTTAGGACTGTAAAGCAAAGGAAGAATAAAGGTAACGAGGGTTTTTCTTCCTCAACTGTCAAAGTCAATTTATTATTTTAGTCCTATAGGATTTCCAGAAACTCACGATAACATCATTGTACAGCTCACTAGTTCTAACATGGATACTGTCAAAAGATCGGTGTTGTCAAGACTGTTTTCTTTATAATTTATTTGTGTTCAAAATCCTCAGAGGATAAAGAAGTTCCCTCATGTGCTGGCTTTTTCTTGCCCTAAAGAAAGAAATTACATGTTAAGCTTTAAATGTTAAAAGATAGAGAGGCTTGTATGAAGTCTTCAGGCAGTACCTTGCCCTGTCTTTATGCCCTGAAAAAACCCTCACATTTTACAGACTTGTGCTTATAATATAGCTGGAGGAGACAGCTCATTTTTTCAAGCACCAGGTTCTGCACGTCTAGACTTCTAGAATCAGATCAATTTTCACTGCTGTCAATTCATCTTTACATCCTTGTGGGTATACCAAGTTCCATTACGATCGTTGTGAAAAGGTCTCAGAAAAAAATGTGAATGACCCCTCTGTTAATCATAGAATAATCATAGAATCACTTTGGTTGGAAAAGACCTTTGAGATCATCGAGTCCAACCTTTAACCTAACCCTGCCATCCCTGTTACAAAAGAGCACTCAGCACGCACGTTAAGGAAGGTCAGGAATAAGCTCCAATGTCCTCTACCTAAATGAGTCACTGGTAGGATCACCACTTTTCAGCTTGGAAGAGCATATATTTCTTTGTTTAGTTTGTAAGACCGTCCGGAAATCTTAGAAATGTAAGAATTTCAAATATAAGGTATCAAGGGTACAAGTGTTGTATTTGTTATTTCTCTGTGCAGTGGCTAGCCTAACAGACCCTTTTATTTCAGTTTGGGTTCCCAGGTATTCTTGTATTAGTAACAGAAAGGTTGTCAAAAGGAAGATTATTTACCTTTTGGAGAAGCTCACTCCTGGAAACTGACATCATGGTCTTCAGCATCTCATCTACAGAACCAAGAGATTTTTCAAATGCTGCAAGATAATCATGAATTTCAGTGGGGTATTCTTCCATATTAATATCATCTTCTGACATTTCCATCTGGGAAGAGGAAATAAAACTAATAAACCTTTTCATTAAGTCCCTACAGAGTCAAAAGGCTGTATTTTACAATACAAAGCATTAGCATTCATTCATTAAACATTATAAGAAATGCCTACTTCTGAAGAGTTCTGCAGGTAATGTCAATACTGACAACAGGTTAAAGGTCCTATAATTTCAAGGGTCTCTCCTAACTGCTGTGCAAAATGGCATGAAGGAGCATTATGAATGACATGACTGTAGTACCTATTCTCCTAACAGTCCCAAACCAGTATTTAGCTTTTATGGTCTGTGATAGAAAGAAATTATTTGCTTGTTTAAAAGAAGTGCTCTATAAATCACAGTATATAAAAAGCTACACTAAGCAACAGGCAGGACACACAAAAAAACCCCCAACAAAACAACCCAAAAACAATGGGGATATGGCTTCAGCCTGTCTTAGGAACAGACATTACTTCAGCTTTAAAGCAGTTACGCAGCACCAGTTCTGTCAGGGTCAGTTACATCTTCCAATCCTAAATTTAGGAGTTGGTCCAAGAAATCCTTCTTGTGAACCCTGTATCCAGTTTTCTGAATTCTCTGTGGGGTATTACAATGTGTAATATAACTAACAAAGCTGAGTTGATCTGGGGATTTCACAATACTCTGGAAATCTTGTAGACGCATCTAAGCGCAGTGACTGTGAGATAAGCAAAGATGTGAAAAAGCCCAAAGCACTCCTTTTTTGATCCCAGCGTTCATGGTAACGTGGCATGGCTACTGCCAAGCCATCTGGCTGCTGGCTTACAATCGGTATCTTTAATTCCTCTCAAATCACAAATCATGTATTCTCTTGGGGAGTTAAAGTTCCTTAAAGCTATGTTACTTTCTACAACTTCTACTGACTGAGCAACATTTTTTTGAACGTTGTAAGGAAGGAGAGGAAGAACTATATAATTTTCCTGCCCATTTCATGAGCTGCATCAAGAACAGTGGGAGCACCTGGATTGCTGCAGTCCGTCCTACTTGGGATCAGAGTGATAATCCCACTACCCAGCCGCTGAGTACAGAGGGCAGGAACATAAGTTGGAGGAACCGCGCTTTGAAAATTTGATCTATGAACACCAAGCCACACAGCCAGTGCAAACAGCAAGGAAACAGCAAACAGCTGTCACATCACTGGAGTTTGTTTTAGATAAAGATTAGATCTTTCCCTTTTCCTGGCAAGAGCGTGGTATGTGTGAGAGAGGTTTCTTTTTATTTATATTGTCTCCTGGAGGTCAAACAGGAGGAAGACTGGGAGGAAAAACAGTGTGGAGCTACTCAAGCTTGTCTGCAACTCCAGCTTTAACCGCATCAGCGTGATTCCAGAAATATGATCAGCCAGTTAACAAGCCCAGTTTCACTGCTGTTGTTTGCATAGTTTAGAATTATAATCCTACTCAGCTGCAGGACTTTTCATCCTGGTCAGAGCTGTTTTTCAGATTGAGTACAGAATCACAATGCTAACCACGATGTGTTGAAGGTCCCCTCCCTACCCCAGCATGTAACTCGTACATGTAAATACTGTTTCAGTCCGCTGCAGCAGCCCTAAGCAAGAAAGCTGAGCTGGACCTACAAGATACTGCCCGCAGAAAGGCAAAATACCAATACAATTGTTTCTACCATTTACAATAGTATTGTGTTTCATTCTGTCCTGGCCACCTGTGTTATAATCATCCTCGTTAGGTTGATTAAGAGAGCCCAGAAACACTGTTTGTTGTTAACTTTTAGTCTTATAATACAGCACAAAAATTACTCAAAGCTACAGAAGAAACTAGATTTTCCCAGCTGTTAATACAGTTAAGCCTGGTTAGAAGGTATGTGTCAGTACACACTTACACATACAGGGAGAGAGGCGTAATCCAATCCAACAATCATCTGCAGAGCTTAACATCGCTACAATACTTAATCTACTGTGGACTTAATTTGATGGACATGCATGAACATATAGATAAATTCCAACTTTTCTTTCTCTATCCGGGCATCCAGCACCAGCAACTGCTTTTTTCAAACTCAAGATATTTTACAGCTGTTGCAATGATAAACAGTCACTAGAGCATATACGATATTCTTTCCGATATCTCAAGCTAGACCTAAAGAATGAGAGAATAGGAAGACAGAAGGAAAGATAACAGATACAGTCCAAAATGTATTTTCCTACTGTTGCTGTCTCATGAACCAGAATGAATTAAGTTTGCCCTCGTATCACGATGTGTTTACTTGACACCATCAATTAGCAAGGAAAGGGAAGAAAATGCATCAGCCGTCAATGGAACAAGGCTGCACGTTAGCCTGTGTACAGTACCCTCCATTGATAAGTCTGCTCCTTCTGCCTAGGGAGAGGAAGAATTTGTTGAACTTGTGTTTTCTGTTCATTTCAACAGGAACTAGCAAGTTCCTACTCCTGCTGCGTAGGGACCTCTCTCTTTTCATTAGACTGTTGTTTCAGCATTACTAATCTCTAAGCAGGATATGTTACAGTGTTGGCACATGCCAATACTAAGGCAGCAGTCAACAGCCTAAAATAGTTTTGATAACATTAAATCAACAAGAGCAAACTTACACTACATTAGAAAACGTGTACACTAGAAACTCCAAAAAATTGTTTCTGCCAAAATCAACACACAGGCTGCACAGTCACACCTGCAGAATGACAAAGGCAAGGGTGGGAGGAACTAAGACCACATCAGTGCGTCTCCAAATATACCTAAAGGCTATACTGCCCTCAATAGTTACGTTTCAGTTATTAAACCACAAACACAATTTTCCTCAAAGTTTTACAAGTGTTTATATATTTTGAACAAGCAGAAATTTAATTCAGTTCCTGAAGTCGATGTTTAGTACATGGGTTTTCTTTGTTGGATTTGCTGACTTTCAACCAAATTCTATTTGGCACAGGGATTTCGCTTAAAGAAACTAAGGACAGTACAAATATTCAGATAAGAGAAGTTATGAAAATACTTGCTGGATAAGCATATGAATAATGGGGAAGTCTAAGGGAAATAAGGGTAAGACAGCATTTTCATTATCAAGTAATAACACTTATGATGCAGAACACATAATGTGTGGTTGTGTGCATGATGGTAATACTTTATAAGATCTTTAATTTTGAGAATGCAAAGGGAAGTTCACAACCAATAAACATAGAATAGAAAAGGCCTACTTTGATAAAGGACACTGAAGCAAACAAATAGTCATGAAAAATGTGGTATGTCTTAATAACCACAGAAACCAGAAACAACTTTCCCTTTTAACCCTGAGCTCAAAAACTGCCACTTAGTGTTTGGGAAAACAGCATAAAAGAAAAATGTATTTTAGGAAGAAAAGGACTTTAAAACGCAAAAGTAAACCATTTTAATGAGAAAACTTACTCGTTGCATTTAAATCTGATCAAAAATTGTCTTATAAAATGGGTTTCCACAGGTGGAAAATTTCTGAATATTCTGAAATTTCTGAAAAATTTGAATAAATTCTCATTTATTCAGAAACATGACTACATTTATGCAAACTACTGCTTAGAAAACAAGGAACACCTTGATTGCTCTCCAGTCAACATAGCATAAATCAGAGCAAGTAATACACTCAACCTGCAGAAAGGGAAGGGAGGGAAGTATCAGACATTATGAACCACAGAAAAGACACAAATATGAAAAGGAGAAAGCAAGAGAAAATATGTCATCTTCCGCAGACTGTATAAAAAAGACTAAATGGGTAAAAATCAGAAGCAGTTTTCTGCAGTGCTAATGTGGCTATTGATCTAAGATCCAACTGAGTTAAATGCTGTATTAAGGAAGTTTAAAAAAAACCAAACAAAATACAGACGATTGTGCACAATACAACTAGCAAAATTGTCCATCTTCACATTTATCTTTCAGGACAAAGAAGAGAACAACTCTGCAGACTCCTTTCAAGAAAAGCACGCCCAGGACTGGCATATAAAGGTAAGAATAGGAAAAAGGGAAACTGCAGACACTTTGCAGGTGGCTTTTATGAATAATCTTTGAATATATCTGGTGTTTTAACACAAGCCTTAGAAAGTAACTGCCAGCTGGCTTAAAAAGCAAAACCAAACCTCCCTTCCTGCCCACCCCCACAGCAAAACTGTATCTGTCATACTGAATGATATAAACTCTAATTAGGCCCTGGGTACCTCTGTGAGAGATTTTGCTGAAGATGCATAGTGAAAGTAATGAAAGCTACATGCATATATCAACACAGCAGTAGGAAACCCCAAAAGACAGAATTAAAAAATGCTCAGTGTCATGCACATGTTTTTCAACTGGAATTAAAACTGCCAAATTCAGGATAAAAATGGTGTATTTCAAATAGTTTGTAACATGCAAACAGAAGACACAAATGCAATTTAGCATCCTTCGCCCTCAGCACAAGAAGGACATGGAAGTGTTGGAGCGGGTCCAGAAGAGGGCTACTAAAATGATCCGAGGGCTGGAGCACCTCTCCTATGAGGACAGGCTGAGAGAGTTGGGCTTGTTCAGTCTAGAGAAAAGAAGGCTGCGGGGAGACCTGATTGCGGCCTTTCAGTACCTAAAGGGGGCCTATAGGAAAGAGGGGGAAAACCTTTTTAGTAGGGCCAGCTGCGTTAGGACAAGGGGTAATGGTTTTAAACTAAATCGGGGTAGGTTTAGGCTAGATATAAGGAAAAAATTCTTTACAATGAGGGTGGTAAACCACTGGAACAGGTTGCCCAGAGAGGTAGTGGAGGGCCCATCCCTGGAAACATTCAAGGCCAGGTTGGATGGGGCTCTGAGCAACCTGATCTAGTTGGCGGTGTCCCTGCTGACTGCAGGGGGGTTGGACTCGATGACCTCTAGTGGTCCCTTCCAACCCAAAACATTCTATGATTCTATGATTCTATGATTCTATGCAAACAGAAGACACAAAAGTAATTTAGCATTCTTCATTCTGCTTAATATTGCAACTCACTTCACACTTCATGTTTATTCTTAACCTATTTCTTA